TTCTGTCCATGAATAACCTGAGACTGTTTCAACTAGTCGTTTAATTTCATCTTGTGTAATACGACCATCATGATCGGTATCAAACAAAGAAAAAAGTAATTTCAATTCTCAAAGAACAAAACAAAAAAATGAACAAGTATAATTTAATTTCTTGAATGAAGACAAAAAAAAAACAATAATTTACCTTGAATATCATGTGTAGTCATTTTGATTGAAATAAACTATAGGATTTAAAAACAAACACGTAACTGTAAATTGATGTAGTGATTCTTATCTTGCCTAACAAATTATATTATGGTTTGTTTTAAGCAAACATTGAAAAGATATGAATATTTAAGTCAGTTAGGGACATACTTTTAAGGTGAATAATTATTTTACTAAGTAGATCTGTTCTTCATTTTGTATTTCATTACTGTCATTTATTAAATAACTAGAACAAAATATTTTATATTTGTTTGTATCTTCAAATATAGATCATGATAAATTTCAAAGTTCAACTCTACAATCAAGATTTATTAAATAATTGTCTCAATATTTAAGTACAAAAATATTTATGTTTAAAAAGAAAAATATCATATATTCAAACTGAATTGAAACTTGAAATCTTGCATTATATTTTAGCAAATTTATTCATAATAATATCTTTACCTTGAAATGAAACTAGTCAAATAATTCTTTTGCACTTTATATTTTGTTATTGTTATATATCTTTTATTTTTTATCTTTATAAAAAAACAAGTATTTTAATTTTTGATAAATGTTTATTTTATTTCAACACTATAAAGGAAAAATTTCTTTTATTATTATTATTATTTTAAAACTATAATGAAATTGTTTTTATAATTGATTAAAAATATTTTCAATTTTTATTGAGACTGTTGTAATATTCATTGGCACCTTCGACAAATTCTAAAATGATCATATAATATTAATAAATATCATTATTAAAATAACCAACAAAAAAAAAAATACATACGTTCATAGGTAATTTCACTGGTTTCATTGTTTTGAAATTTTTTCTCGAATATATTAATTAAATTTTGATTCAAATTTGTTTTAGTTTTTTTCACCTGTTCAAATTCATCTTTTTCAACAACACCATCACCACTTGTATCTTTATTTTTAACAAAAAAAAAAAAAATAATTTAAGAAAAATTTTACTAATTTTTTTTTCTTTCTCTCTTACCAATTGTTCGAAATATACTTTTTAAACCATATGTACCTTGTGGAACATTATTATTTATAAAAGCTACAAATTCATCCATAGAAATATCACCACTATCTATAAAAATCAAATAGAAATTCTAATCAATGAAATATCTAAAAAATACTATTTACTATCAGTATCAGCAAGTTTTAGATATTCATCAACTTCTTTTTCTGAAACTGAAGGACCATCAGGATCAGGTGATTGAAGTAATTCTTTAAGTTCTGCTCTTGTTAGTGTTCCACTGTTATCAACATCAAATAGAGTAAAAAGTAATTTTAATTCTACAAAAAACAAAAAAAAAATTAAAATTAAGAAAAACACATATATGAGAAAATCATATACCTTGGCTTGCTTCTGTTGCCATTGAGAAAATTATGTGACATTGGTGCAAACATACCTATGGTTATATTTAATACCCCATATCTTATCTTATCAAATGCTTTGACGCAAATTCATGAAAGCAAATGGAATATTCATTTTGATATTTATCTTGTATTATTACGTCAATAACAGACTGAAGAGCCATTTTAGATAACAAAATACAAAGATCTCTTGAAAAAACTTTGACCATATTGTATTTGTTTCTTTAAAGAATTAATCTTTACTGTGAGTACATATTGATAATTTCTGTTCTAAATAGACAAGTAAATATTAGTATTTCGTGTATTACTTATCAGAGTAAAGCTTGAATAAAAAAATGAGCTCAACTAATCAATCAATTGTATAAATGTATTGTACTAAAATAGAAAAATAAAAAGATGATTAATAAATTAAACAAATATATAGATTCAATCGAATTTCTAAGAAAAAACTTTAATCTGTTAGTCTCAAATTCAGGTTCACGAATGGCTTTGTTTAATCATTTCTGTTAAAATGAATATACTTGAATGTTTACTAAAGGACACTATAGACTATATAATACAGTGGCAGATCCAGGATGGAAGACTGGCCGTCTTCCTCTTTGGAATCTATATATATGCTATAACCTAAGTATCTTTGTATTTCTATGAGATTTACAGAATAAAGTAATGTACGGTTTTCACTATTTGAAAGTTTATAGTGCTTGTATTCTACAATGAACGATTCTCGAGAAGGAAAACCACTTATATATATATATGCTTTACGTAGTGCCATTACTTCTGTCAAATACTCTTTCTCTTATTGGATATAACTTCTTTTATTGTCGCACAACTGATGAGTATTTGTCGAGTTTAATATTGAAATAATTAACAGTCATGTTAACAGTTCATTTATGCTCGTTCTATCGGTGATTAATAAGTATTAGATTTACTACGTAATTCATATTCGATGCAGTGATATGTCCTTTATTAGGGCATGATGTAAACTTTTCAAATTTATATATTTGACATAGATATCAACAGATTTATATAGAAAAGTAACATTTTAATGTCTATCAAGTCCTCTAATTAATAAGTACAGAAGTACTTTTCCTGATATTTGCGTTTATTGAAACTTATTCAATGTTATTGTCTTCTTCTATATTGATATCAACATCTTTGTTGTCAAATTCTTCGTAATTCTTTGCATTTTTAAATATGATGTATAGGTTCCATTGACAAAGAATCATCATTAATAAGTTATCGCAGCATCTTTGAGTAAGTATACTTCTTTTTCTGATCATCTCCTCTGACAGTCATCATGGTCAACACCATCAGTTTATAAATCAATATCTATTTCTTTAATTGAATACACAAATAAGAACAATTAATTAAATCGATTTTAACAAACGAAAGTTACTCTGTATAAGCAAATTTGCAAACAAGAAAAATATAAGAAATATATCACAGTGATATAAAAAAATCGAGATAAGATAAATTTTACGGGCGCATAAAATGAATCATTATGTTTATTTGCTAGTAGCTATCGTCTTCTACAATAAAGTTAAATGTTCACCTGAATTTTAAGATCAAAGAACTATAGGATTATTTGTTTTATCGTATATTTGTACATAATCTATTGTTATTTTCATCATTGGTCCATGTTCATTAATAGACTAAAAATCTATCATACACAAACATCAACAATCAATCTCATGATTCGCTTTAACATATATCTTTTATGTCATAAACATAGAAAAATATCAGAAATAAATGAAATTATTTTATTTTTATACAGATATACGTATATATCTTTACATTAGAAAGTATGCAGAATTCTTATTAGTAAATAATTCTCAAATTGTATTAACTATCAAAATAATTCATGAAATAAAATATATTAAAATATCAAATCTACGCTTATAATGTTTCAACTCGACGTGAAAAATCTGTATATGTGAAATTTATAAATAGGATATATTGACTTTCGTTTGTCTTAACAAAAGATACGATAATATCTTTATTAATTTACATCAGAATGGATCGGAAAAAAGGCTGTCTCGAGCAGAGACAGTCATTCCTTCCCCCAAATCTTGAGAGATTTTAGTTTTTCCCAGCGAATCTCAAGCCTTTTATTCCCTTTTTTTGGCTCACCAATTCTAAAAAAAACGCTCGGTCTCCCAAACCTGGTCAATACTAGCAAAAATCTTTTAATCGGTATCCTGAGTCATCGACCCCCGTCCAAAATCCTGGCGATCTTGGGCTACCGTTGCTTATGTATCCTTCGAGTTTAAGCCAATAAATCTCAGTATTTCATGAATACTTGTTTTGATGATATTATACAGTGAACCATGGGCAGCGCGCTCTAGCACCGCACAAGAGCCAGCAGTTGCTTTTCATAAGAAAAATTTGAGGAAGCAATAGAATCTTATTCCTTCTCAGTATATTCCACGCCTCTTGTTTATACTAGAGTAAGACTACTTAATCCAAAACATATATATATATATATATTCAATACGACTCTGTAGTTCATGTAAGAAGATTGATTCATAGTTTCATGATTTTACTTATCGTTATCCTGATGAATTCACTTCTTTTCATCTATATCCGACATGTGATAATTTAAGCAATACATAATCGACATTTTGATTATTTTGAATTCTCTTCCGCTGAGATAAGCGATCTTCAAGGTTTGCATTAGATCAAGATCAATAACGTAATCGCAAATCAACTTCCATCTCTTTAAGACTGGTTATATGATACTTAATGATTTTATTCAAAAGAATTGAAGTTCAATTAACCAACATTTAATGGATGAAACGTAATGACTAATCTTCTTTGCTGTTTGTTAATAATAAAAGTGGGATTGCCATTCGGAATTCATAATTTGTTTTTGTTTTCTTTTTAACAAAATTTATAATTTAGATATTTAAATTTAAAATCAAAATAATTAAAAAAAAAAAAACTTACCTATAACTTCGCAATCAGAGAGTATTAAAAATACATTTCAGATGTTGTTTAATAATCACAACAAGCAAAGCTAGATGTTTTGGATAGTTCAGGGATCTGACGAGGTGGCTTCAATCTGAGAAACAGCAATAGGTTTTGCTGCTTGAATGTCCACTACTGAAGGAGAGAGTAGGCAAAATCGATCTATTGAAAACTTCATTGCTTCTTCTAAAAAATTGACCATATGCCGTAAACTAAAAATCCATGTATAGAAATGAAAAAATTAATACGTAAGATGTCGTTAGATCACGTCATATATATTTTTACATAAATGAAAATAAATTTTCCAATTGGCTAAAATAAATTCCAGTATATTTTGTATGTTATAAACAGACGAGATTTAAAAAATTTTCTTTGTCTTATTAGTATTCATTATTTTCAAACGATTGAAAATCAAAATTGTTATTATTGTTCTTATTATCAAGCATTATTGTTAAAAAAAAATGCCATTATCAATTGAATCTGAAATTGATCTTCTTTATCATCTATCAACAATGTCTGAACATGTTTTACCGAAAGGAATTTTTTATCTTCTATTATGGAAACGTCTTAATCAATCTAGCATTCCACCTACTTTTTCATTCAAGGAAATGGTTGATCATCTTCGTACATTGTATAAAAAAAAACAAAATTTCTTTTTTTCAAAAAAAAAAAATTTTTATTTTGATTAAAATAGATATGATGAAAGTGTTTTTGATAATCCAGAATTACCTGAATCAAATGATCATGATTTTCAATGGAATCCCGGTGATATTGAACAACAACAACAACAACAACAATCTGAAAAAGATTCATCAAATAAACTTGAAACAACACCAATACCAACAACACCTCAATCTTTAACTAAAACACGAAAACGTCCAACATCACCATCATCAATTACAACTAATAATGATATTAATCGTCGTAGTAGTCGACAAAAAAATAATACACAAACAAAAGATGAAGAACAACAACAACAGCAACAAACAAAAGTTGAAAAACGAAAATCTATTAAAGATTCATCTCGAATATCAACACGATCAATACCTAATAATGATTCCATTGGTACACGTTTACGAGGACAAAAATAGAATTATTCCAAATATTGTATATAATATTTTTTCTTTTTCACAAAACAAAAAAAAAAGAAATAGAACGAAATAAAAATAAAAAATAAAAATATCAATTATATAGATATAAACAATGATCTGTTATTCTAATAAATTTATATTGTAGAAATCAATAAATATACATCTTAATTATGTCTCGTGCAACAGATCAACCAAGTCCACCCACGCCACCAACACAACTTGATAATGATGAAAAACGTATATTAGCTGAATGTGAACGAGAATCACTGATTTATCGTAGTATACCATTAGGTCTTACGGCTTTTTTTGCAACACAATATGCTATGTCAAGAAATTTAATAAAACCACAAGGAAGATGGATTAAACTTGGTGCAAGTCTATTTACTGGTTATCTTCTTGGCAAGATATCATATGCACCAACTTGTCGAAATAAAATTCTTACACAAATTCCAAATAGTAATCTAGCATATGCAATTCGTGGTGTTGAAGCTCGACATGAATCTGTTAATTCTGATGAACAACAACAACAACAACAACAACAGCCTCAATCATATATGTCAAGAAAATCAAAAGATCCTAGTGAAGCTGTTGTATTTGTACCTGATCCAGTTGAATTTGATACGCATACACTTCCAGTCGGTGTTAATCAGTATGGTGATCCAATTTATGATACGACTAAATGATTATTTGACTGAAAAAAAAATGTTACACTTTTTTTTGTTTCTCTAAGATTTTCCCTTGTGTACTTACTGATGACAGTGATTAGACGAAACTGTCAAAAAGTAGACCATGTTTTTTTTCTTGACATATTCATTTAATTTAGCAACCTGATTTTTTTTAAGATAAATATGCACACAGTTCTCATGTTTTTATCTTGTTCTTTTTCAGAATAGAAACACATTATTTTTATTAATGTTCGCATTAGAATTAAAGAGAAGCGAGTGTAAGCTAGAGCTCGTTGGGTTAGTCCCAGATCCGAGTCTGAAAATTATCCGCCAGCCGGGTACGAAAATTTCGAACCTAATGAACTCTTAAGTAAACTCAATAGCTCGACAATGACAATAGATAGTAATCTGCGGTTTCTAGCAATCGAAAGAGGAGAATTCCGAAAGCCTGCTTATCTGATATTAAAGGATGTTCTAAAAATTCAAACGAAAGAAAAAGGCAAATGACTCTTCAGTAATTCAAGAGATGTAAATATTTTTGTTTTTATAGTTTGATCACATATATACTAAAGTTTTATTCAATATATTTCCGATAAAATGTCTACACTTAAAGAAGTTAGAATGATAATAGTTTTACTCATGATCAAATTTAAATAAGCCAGCATTGTAAAACGATAACTAGAAATTTAATTTTAGAAAAAATATACGAATTAAACATTGCATTAGCAACATATTCTAGCGATTTTGTGAAATGAGTACTGTCAAAAATCGATAACCGTAGAGTAAATACTGAAGAAAAAGTCGATAAAATCAATGACGCTTAAATAAATGAGCTAGGATCGAGTGTTCGATCAATATAACTTTTCTTCGTCGAACTGTTGAATAAATTGTACTCTGTATGGCTTTAATTAGAAACGTTTCATTATAATCCGGTATGTTGTTGGTGGTGGTAATGAGTAAACTTATGCAATAGAGCGAATACGTGATTTTAATTCATTTTCGCAAGCATTCCTAACTTCATTGACTTTTTCTTCAGTGATTGCTATAGATCTTCCAGAACATAATTAATTTTTGACAGTACAAGTTTCATAAAATCGCTGAAATGTGATTCTAATATAAGATTTAGTTGATGTGTTTTTGCCAAATTTGATTTGCAGCTTTCGTTTTATACTGTAACTGACTCGAATTTGATCATCAGTAAAACTATTTTAATTCTGACTTTTGTAGACATGCGCATTTTATATGAAAACTTTAATAAATACGTAATCAAACTGTTAAAAAAAAACTTAAATCTCTTGTATTGCTGAGGAGGTATTCACGTTTCTTTTTTCGGTAGGACTTTTGAAACGCGTTGTATATAAGACAAAATTATATTAAAATCAATCATCTTTGCAAAATATTGAAAAAAAAAGTGCATGAAAATCATGTTTCATTTTGATTTCGATATGTGCTTTAGATAGAAGGACTTCGGATGTATAGTTCAAAGCATATGTGAAGTGATGATTTTCTCATATCTCAATATTGAGCAAATTTATTTGGTCAAATTATATAGAATTCTATTGATTTTACGACTTGTTATTAAAATTTCCTTGAAACGAATCATTATTTTTATATATTCTTTTCTTTTTGGAATATTTTGCAAAAATGATAGGATGTGAAATGATGCTATTTGAAGTAGTATCAGATAAAAAGGCGTCCGAAATTTTCCTCTTTCTATGGCTGAAAAGTGTAGGTCAGTATCTATTACTGCTGTCGAGTTATTTAGTTTATACCCACCTCTCCTTGATTCTAGTGCAAACATTAGCTAGAATTTATTTTGCATTTCTATCGTTATTGACTGAGACAATTGCTATCTTAATTGATCATGCACACGATTAATTTGTTAGAGTTATGTAAAACATATGTTATTTAAGTGTGTATATTCCCTATTTCTGGGTTCTATACATTTTTTGAAATACAAGATCTGAACAATTATGATAGACAGATGAAAGGCAATCGAATATAATTTTTCTTATTCATAAATCATCACTAATTATGTTACAAATCAGGACAAATCTTATATCCAACTAAATGAGGCGATACTTTAATATCCACAGAGATTTGCAAATTTTTTTCTTCTTTCATTTATACACGAGAGAATAAGTTAAGACGGCTTTTTATGATATCATCTGCTTCCGATTACGCGTGAGAAGAGACACCCTAAGGCGTAGACGCATATGCACATATAGATATATATATATATATATATGTATATGTGTATAAATGTATATATTCTCATGACGATTTGTGTGAAAATGTGTTACTCGTGTGCTTTGACCAGGAGCATATAGACCAAGGGACATTCTCATCGAAAACATACGAATGTAAATAGATAATTGTTGTATAATCGTCAACTTATCAATAGAAATGACGTGTTCACATCTATGCGTCATCATTATGTTCAATTACGATACTCTCTGAATGCATTTTAACGTCAAAAAGGCGAGAAATACGTGTAATATAATGACGGAAAAGAAACAAAAGAAATCGAAGTAGTATTTCGAGTGTATTCATTTAGTCTTTGGGCAAAGAAAAGAAATGATTACATAAAAATGATTTCAAATTGAATCTCTTTCTGGGGGGTATACATTGATTGTATATTACTTGATAAGGTCAAAAGCAATTTTTTTCTATTTCAATATATTATAAGGGTGGAGTAAATCATCGAGTGAATTGACAAAGACATTTAAGATATCATTTTAGTCTCTTTTCTAAAGTGACCTATAGTTACCACATTAGAAAAGAAAAAGACACGGAGGCGGGTGATGTTATACATTGCATATATAGGCATTCATCAAGTCATTCAATGTCTTCTTTCTCTTCCGTTTTATCAAGTTTACATTTCACGACACCACGCCGGGTCATTCGCCGCGCCCATATTCTTTATCGTGATCCCCATCTGACTGACCGCTCGATCACCATTTCCATTCTTTTCGTTTGACTCATTCTTTTTTTCTTTCTCTTTCTTTCTCTCTTTTTTTTTCTCTGTTTTTAGCATTTTCATTCTGCTAACAACCTTAATAATCTAAACCAGAAGAGAGAAAAAAAAAAGAGGAAAAGAAAAAGAAAAAGAAAAGAGCAGTCCTTCTTACCATTAACGATATTCTCTCGTTTCTCTTTACGAATAACAAATGATAACAATCAAGCCCGAACAACAATGATAACAACAACAATAGACACTACAAAATGAGAATGCATCGAATAAAGACGAAGAAAAAATCGTGCTAATAATAATAATAATACAACGGCGACTGTAGTAACATATTCATCATTCTCCTGAACATTTATCTGTTAAGTCAGTGTATGTGTAGTACAAACAGCGAGTAAAAAAAAGAAGAAGAAGAGGAAAAGAGAAAAGAAGAGAAAGAGAAAGAGAAAGAAGAGAAAAAGAAAGGCCTATGTATATCACTTCTCAAATACATACAATGATCATGGTTGATGCACGTTGTTGGCCAAAACGGTGACCATTAATATAATGAAAGCTAAGATCATGTTAGTTCAAAGTTTCATATTATTCTTCATTTCATATCCGTCAATAGCGGAAACGGTAAGAATACATTCTATATTCATTTATTGTCTATTCTTTAGATTTCTAGGTTAATAATAATAATTATCATCAACGTCGTCACACGTTTTCGTCATCAACATTAGTAAAACTTAATGTCGATTATAAATGACAATGATAGATGTTTTCTTTTTCTTTCTTCTTCTTCTTCTAGGAATTTACAGCTAATGTTGATTATAATAAACTCTATCAACGATCATTGAATATTAATAATGCACGCGTCATTAGTACTGAACCACAAGATAAATTATGGTTTGCTATTGAGAATGGAACTATATTTGCTTTACCATTATATGGAGATTATTCAGGTCCATTTTTAATACAATTTCAACAATTCAATAATAATTCATATTCAGGTAAATATTTATATTATTAATTAATTCTATAAAATAAAAATTCTTTTATTCAAAAATAAAAAAACAATAGATCTTAATAATTTAATTGAATTAAAATTAAATTTTAATTTTACTCCATCATCATCTTTATTTTATCCATCAAATCATCTCCTTCTTGCTTTATTTAATATTTCATCAACAAATTATAAGAATTCATTATTAAATCGTTATTTTATTATTCGAACATTATCATTAGCACTTAATTTAAGTGAATCATTATTAACCATACATAAAATAAATGGTTCTATGATAAAAGTTTATTTTTCATGTGATTTATATTTCTCAACAAATATAACATATCAATTAAAAATACTTATTGATCGTTATTATTCAAGACGTTTGGAATTAATACCTTTGTTTCCTTTACCATTAATTGAAATATCTATTATACGATTTTATAAATTAACAACAATAACAACAACAACAACAGTAACAACAACAACACCATCACCATCACCATCACCATCGCCACCATCAATAACAGCAATGATAAGTCCAATAATTGAAATAAAAAAAACTGAATTAACAATACGACCAAGATTATTAAATGATAATTCAATAAAACATAATCGAACAGTAACATCATTTAATAATCTTATTCTTCTTAAACAATTTTATCAACCACTCGTTATTGTACCATTGTCAATAATTGCTATCGGCTTATTTATATGTGCTATAATTGCATGTTGTCTTTGTTGTAATCGTCGTTCATCATCATCATCAACATTACTTTTACCAAGTGGACCATCTGGTAGTCCGAATAATAAACATTTATATCAACATTATTCATATCGAAAACATAAGCAACAACATGAATTTTATAAAAAAAAATATCGATATCATGATCAAAAACAATTTATTTCAAAAGGTAAAATTTTTTTTTTTTTTTTTTGAATTTCAATTAAAAAAAAAATCTTTTTTTTTTTTGTTTATAGGCATTCCTGTTGTATTTGCCGAAGAACTTGAAGAAAAAATTGAACAAACACATACACCATTGGTTATGCGTATTGAAAAAGCACCATTTAATGATCAACAAGAACAAAATGAATTAGAAAGACCGTCATTTTGAAATATGTTCTGAAATCAGTGAATCAAAAAAAAAAAGAGAGAGTTTTTTTCTTGTTGTGTAGATTAGTATAATCTTTTCTTTGTCTCACTGAAAATTTTTGTGTAATGAACGAATATTTTCATACTATGTCATTGTCTTCAACTGTTTGTTTGTTTTTTTTTTTGCATTTTTTTTGTCTGGTAAATAACTCAGGTGTTCGATTTGTTGTGTTTATGTATCTGAGGAAATATGTTAATGGATTGAAAACAAACAAAAAATTTGATCTATTCTCATGGTGCTTTTCAAGTTGAGCAAAAAAAAACAGATATTAAATTTTAAATGCATTTTAAAGAATATATTGATTTCATAATGAGTTTTTTTTCCATCATTGAGTTATAAAAATGGTTTAAAAGAAAGTACAGCTCTGTTGTTCTTTCGTATTTTAGATATGAAAAGATTTATTATCAATATGATTTGATCACGATTAATGTATATGGAAAATGATTGATCGAATGTATACATTAGGCGACATTGATCAATTCAAATGTCAATGTATCATTCACAAGATATGCAAGAGGTAATACGACATGATTAAAATATATCACTACAATCGAAGTTATAACTTTTGTTTATTATACGTATTAAGAATATAATAAATAGAACAACGATGCAATCTATTCAAAGGAGTAATATGAATTGACCTATCATGAAAATGATGTATATGTATACATTGATCACTTAATTACTTCAAACAATAAAAAACGAAAATAGTTAACTAATGTATGATTATCATAGATGAAAGTGTATGCTATTGTAATGGATGATTACCATATGCTTATTGATAACTATATATATATATATATATATATATGTATATATCAAATACTTTTTTCAACTTAATGCTTCTTTTTGTATCTATAAGTTTAATCTTATTAATATTATTTAGCTAATTATGTCTATGAACATATCAGATGTTTATAGCATATTGATGTTGTTATTAATTGGCTAATATCATGAAACTTACAAACAAAATAAATCATAAAATTCTATTGATAAACATAGAAACAACTAATCAATCATTAACTGATTACTATAATTATGTTGTCTTAAACAAAGAAGACGATTTAAATTTTACATTTCATTTATCATTGATATCTTATTGAAATAACTAAAACAAGAAAATAAATGTCTGATTTTTTTTCCATTAATTTAATTAATTTATTATAAGATAAACTTTTAAAAAAAAATTTTTTTTTTAGATGAGTAATTCTTCAATAGATGATAAAGATATTACACGTGAATTATGGCAATCACGTTTACCAATATGTTTTATATTATCTGATGAAGATATGAGTAAAGTAAATCGTTCTGAATCACCAGAACCACTTTATTTAATGCTTTCACGTCATTCTTATTTTCCATGTATAATTGAAAAAATTTTTCGTTATTATTCAACATATTATAAAGGAAATTTAAATGATCAAACTAATAATATAAATCTTAATAACTTATGGCTTGAATATGAAAGTATTCCACTTAAATGGCATTATCCAATTGGTCTCTTATATGATTTATATACATCATCGCTATCATCATCATCATCAGCATCTCATTTACCATGGCAAATCATAGTTCATTTAAGTAAATTTCCTGAAAATGAATTAATACGTTTTCCAGACATAGAATCAATTGAAGCACATTATATGACAACATTAAAAGAAGCCGATGCACTTAAACATAAAGGACAAATAATTGGTGATATGCAAAAACGTGATCATAAACAATTATGGAATTCATTATTACAAGATAAATATGAAGCATTTTGGAATATAAATATAAAATTAATGTCTTATACAGATAATTTACAATATTTTCGTTATATACCATTTCGTATATATATATTAGATAAACCATTTATGCAAAAATTATTTTCACCATATAATATTGAACAAAATAAATGGTTGACATTATATGATTTATTACAATATACATTAAATCATGAAGTACAATGTGAGAAATTAGCTAATGAAAAAAAATTTTTAAATAATAATATTGAAAATTATCGTGTTATTATACATGGTGTACAACCACCACTTCATTCACCAATACAATGGCTTAGTGAATATTTTTCATATCCAGATAATTTTCTTCATATATGTCTTATTGAAAATCAGATGCGTTAATGAAGAAACTTAACTTACTGATGTTTTTCTTTGTCATTCTAATCATTTATATATTGACTTCATCTGTTTTTTTTTCTTTTGTCATTTTATCTTTGCGATTGTCTAAATATATATATATATATATATGAGTGTATGTGTATGTGTGTTGGCGTCCCTGTATTTTTGATGCATTGTAATAAGATAAGAAATGGAGAAACTTCGATTATTATATGAAAAATATGGAGGAAATGGATATTACGGTGAGCCTGTAACTCAGTATGAGCATGCTTTACAAGCCGCATTTTTTGCTGAACAATATGCTTCAAATGATAATGAATTGATTGTAGCTGCATTTCTTCATGATATTGGCCATTTATTAGGTGAAAAACAAGAAGATCATATGGGTAATTTAGGTGTTCTACGACATGAACATATTGGTGCTGAATATCTTCGTAAAAAGGTTGGTTTGTCAGAACGTATATGTTATCTTGTTGAAAATCATGTTAATGCTAAACGCTATTTAACTCATATTGATAAAGATTATTATAATCGTCTTTCAGATGCATCAAAACAAACACTTGTATATCAAGGTGGACCGATGACGAATGATGAAGCAGAAAAATTTCGTTTGCATCCTCAATTTGAATATAGTCTTCGCATGCGTACATTTGATGAAGCGGCAAAAGATATGAATTTTAATAAGTATGAAGGAAAAGCTAATAAATATTGGAATTTAGTCGAAAAATGTATCAGTAAAAATTAAATTATTTTTCTCTTAAAGGAAATCAAAATAAACCACAAAAAAAAGACTTCTTCTTTATTCCATAAACTATCGACCTCTGTTGTAAAAGTCAACTACTTTTCTTATTCATTAGATTTTAGAAAGACATAAATGATTCATTCACATTTAAACAAGTAAAAAAAAAAGTCAATCAAATGACTTAAGACATTTATTAATAAATAGAAATCAACGACTTATCTTTCTATTCAATCAAGATTTTTCACAAATTATTCAATGAAAATTTTGTTCATAAATCAAATTAATATGTGATTGTTCACATTTTTAATAAGTTAAAAATTTTATTCTTTTCGATATAAACAATTCAGATATGAAATCTATTTCAATTGAACTTAGTAGCTTATAAAATAGAAAATATTATGAAAGTAATGAGGAATCTTTTAGAAGAAAAAAAATCCTCATATTTAATTATTTATAAAGATTATATAAAAATTTCATTAAAAATATTTTAAATATTTATTGCATTTATTTATGTTTTATTTTAAGATATATTACATTCTTTAACGTCTGTAATGTCTGGAGAGACACCATCTAGTACGACTAGTAACAACAATATTGTTGATCTTTTATCAACATTAAATCCGGTAGCTGCAGCTGCAGCAATAGCAGCAGTATCAACAACGACAATATCAACACCGTCAACTAGTACAATTCGTAATGATGATATAAATATTGATTCATCAGATTTTGTTCCTGCTAATCGTTTACTTACACAAAGACAAGCAATACATAATGCTAAACAACGTATATTATAAAGATTTATTTTCTTTACATTTATTAGTTTTTCTATTTATTTAGTTGAATCATTACGAGAACAGCAACAACAACAACAATTGCAAAATATGGAAATTGATGATCAACAAGCATTTGAAGTATCATTTATTAAACACAGGTATTTAAAAAAAAACAAATAAACGAATGATTGAAAAGTTTTTAAATAAGATTTTTACTCCATTAGAAAGCATTTCTGATGAGTTAGGACTAAAATTTTGTGCTCTTTTCGAATATGAACTTGAAAATTTTGTCTCAGATTTTTGTTCGAGAGCAGTGCAATAGTTCTTAAAAAGCACAAAAACAAAAATTAATTTGGACTGAAGATTTTTGTATTTTCACTATTGTCATTCGAAACTAAAAGTTGGAATCTGTATTTATTTATTAAGGCCATCCCACAGTATATGTGACACTTTGTACATGACTTCCTCTAAATTGATTTTCACATTTCAAATTTTGTAGAGTATAATCGATTTATTTACTATGACGACAAAAGATCCGCTATAAATTCTTATATTGAAGAGATCAGTGATTCACAAAATTAAAGCAAAATATAGCTAATACTATATAAAAACACTGCAATAAAAAGGCTTAAATGTCCATTATCATATATCTTTAACGCAGAATTTGGACACATAATGAGATAGCAGGTTTTATAAAGCAAAACTTGTTTCACACGCCCACATAGAACAATTTTCGCGGAGGTACCAAACAGAACGTCATTTTAGTACGAAAATATTATCATACATAATCAGATTATCAGTATATATGACAATACTTTCGTGCGAAAATGACCTTCTGTTTGGCACTCCTATGAAAAGTATTCTATATGAGTGCATAGATCGAATTTTGCTTTACAAACTCTGCTATTTCATTATGTGCTCAAATTCTGCGCTAGAGATATATGATGATGGACATTTTAGCAGTGTTTTTATATAGTATTAACAATATTTTGCTATTATTTTGTAAATCACTGTTCTCTTCAATATAAGAATTTACAGCGGATCTTTTTTTAGTGTCACATATACAAAGACACTTCCATTTTCGTTTTTCCTACATACTCATTTTTGAAAAATCGATAACCATTCCATGTGAAAAGAAGCTCTTGAACAAACGCTTGTAGCCTCATTTGAATAGAAGCTACAGCTTAGTACAATATCAAATTTTGTAGAAGTGTCTACTTTACAAAATGATTTACTCCGATAAGTTTTAGTATTTTCGAAAAGGACGTTATAGGGTGAACAAAAATTGAAACAATATTCGAAAAGGGCACAAAAATCATACCTTTT